GAGTCAACGATCTTCGCAACTTCATGTTCTGCAACTTGATCTCATCCCTTAATTCGCAGTTCATCTCCTGCTCGTTGGTGTAGAGCTCTTCATAGTGCTCTGCCCTTGCGATCGAATTTGCACTAGCCTGTGATTCAAGCCTCAGGTGTGATATCGCTTCGGCCTCATGGTTCCTGTATGATGCAATTCTTCTGACAGTATCATGTTCAGTATTTCGATGCTTCAGATCACTTTCCAATTTGGCCTGATTTGCCTCGAAAACCTTCTTTCTAGATTCTCTAGTGATCTCGTCAATACTGCTTTCATACAGCTCGGCCTGTTTGCGAGACTGAACTAAAGCTTCACTCAATAGCTGATTCCGTTCAGATAACTCATGAACTGCAATTGATTGTTGTTGGCTAACCACTTCAAGTTGATTGCTAGAGAAGGATGCCACTTCGGATCGATTACGATATTCCATGATTGAGTTCTGGAAATCTGTCTGCATTTCTTGACCTTCATTGTATAGTCGATTGGCAATATCGGTGGTTAAGACATTGGTTTGATGAAGTTGTTGCAGTCTTGCCTCCGTATTACCCAATAGTCCTTGAAGGTGATGTACTTCATCCTTGTACTCTTCCTGGATCTCCATACCACGTTGATGGATCCGTCGTGCACCATGTTCCATTAGGGCACCTCGGCGTTCAAGGTCTTGGATGCGTATTGTTGCACCTTCGTCTTCCTGAGATGCTACCATTAGTTCTGCTTGATATTCTGCAACCTCATTTGCGGAACATGACAATCTATGATTGAGTGCACTGACCTCATCAAATACATTCTGGTTGTGTTCCTGAAGATATTCAGTGAATCTGATCTCGATGTCATGAATCAGTTGATCTCTTGATGCAGCATATGCTTCCATTTGGTTCAACTGATTACGTAGGGATTGACATTGTGCCCGTAGTTCTTCTATCATGGCAATAGGTTCACTAGCCACAGAAGTATCCGTTGATCTCCTCTTAACACGACTATCCCCGGTCCTCTCACCAATTCGGTCGGTTACGGCCCTGGTGGATCTGTCCCTTGGGGTAGTTCGTCCTCGAGATGGTCGATGCCCTTGGCGGACAACATCACTTCGAGCACTGTTTCGAGAAGATCTTGGTGTACTTTGGGTGGATGTTCTTCGTCTGTTTGATGTAACTTGCCATCCGGACTGTGTAGTTCGGGTAGAGCGTATCCCACCACTGTCTGCCGTGTCGCCAGGGGAAGATTGATTGACCTCCTCGACCGGCATAGCAGTGTTCTCATTGAAGGTAAACTGCGTTGTGCGCGAATCTCCGCTGCCGCCTTGCATCTTTGCGATGATGAGCTGATTGGTCCTTTGCGTCCTCAATCAATTGCTCAGAAGGTCCGGCTACCAGCACGCAGGTACCACTCTCCCGACGGGAGAAGTGAGCCCTACGGCTGATAACCTGTGAGCAAATAAATCCTTGTTCCGGATGTGGCGATTGGATTGCGATACCTGTTATGCTGGTAGTTCCGGACAGCGATACAGCATGGCAAGCAAAGATCGGACTTTTTCCTCACGCAGGGACTTGAGCCAGTACGGCGTTTCGATGTGCAGTTGTGCATGCACATGATATATGTCCTAGCGTTCAGTTCCCTTTGACACATATATATATATATATGTAATATATATATATATGTAATATATGAATGATCATTTGTTTGAACCAAAGATGGTTTGATTCTGAACCAAACCACCGCGAGATGTTTGATGGCCGTGTGGCCAACCGCCCCGGCTGGGTTTCCAAGCTCTTCATCTACGGGTCCATAAGGCTTTGCTGCCTTGGAGAGAGGACTAGGGCTGCAAGGGCGTTCTTGGGCCTTGATCGCCCTCCCGAATTTTTGCCAATAGGTCCTTTGATAGGGGCTTGCCTCACTCCAAAGAACTTTGAAGAACCATACGCTGTGTGATATACACAGTACCAGAATCTTTCAATTTCTCACTTGCTTTGCCACTCAATCCGAAGGCTTCTGAGTACCCTGCGTAGACCAACTTGTCTACGAGCCTTCCTGGGCAACAGGATCGATGCGAATGAAAACCCACAGGTTTGGCAATCCTGTTGCAGGAGATCCCTTCTCTTAGCCAAGCTGCGCTTGATGAAGAGCTGCATCAAATGGCCAGCCTTGCCACTTTGGCATGCCTGACAGTCAGGACTCCAGGGATTGCCCACATGATTCCTCACGATAAATGATAGGCAATTGAGCACAAACGCCTCTGGAATATCTACCAGGATTTGTGCTCCACGATGCACATCATATCATATGCGGGGACACATTTTAATACGTATATCCCCCAAGACGTACCTTTTGTGTAGCAGATATTTCCTTGAATGCCTTGTCTTCCTTCCTATTTTATCGCCTATTGTAGCACTGCATCAGGAAAGTATCTTGGACGCATGCGCCTGGATACATCCTGCCCACATATGTAGCTGCAGCATAGCGCTGTAACATCTGTATTTGAGATATTTATTTCATTATATTTAATGTTTTTGTTAGTGTATCAACACGATTTTTTATATTTATGATCTGATTCTTGCAATTCTGTTTTTTCAATATCTTCTACAACATGTGGTATAGGATTTGCAGCAATATGATTTAGGGGAATAGATGGATTGTGTTTTTGTTGTTTGTTTTTACAACAGAGTATAGCATATGATTTTTATTTTTTTTGATGAGTACAACAGTTTGTAAGGTAGTTTTCTATAATGACTACTGGTGGAATTTGGAATTCATGTTTACTAGATTTTCTGTAGCAATTTGAAACTTTTAGCTTCTACCAAAGCTGAGCTTTGTGCAAAATTAGATTGTATAGTTAGTGCATCTTGAGATTTTACGTTGTTATTTACGTAAGATTGTGCAGATAATAAAGGTGTAAAAAGTACAATGGATATGGATAAGACTGATCTCCAGCTATATTTTTTAGACATATTGATTTTATAACGCATCTTTAATCCTCCTACAATTTCATAACATTCCATCAAGCTTTGCATAGTAAATTGACAATAATCAATCATATTCTCATTTGATGTTAATTGTGTTATTTGTTCTTGCGAATCTACGTTCTTTCCATTAGTTTTTCTTCAGCATCTACATTTAGAAGAGTTGATATTTTTTGTTGTAATAGTTTTTTCTTAAAAATCTGTATAATGTAGATGATCTTATAATTTCATTGCTTTAAATCCAGGAGTGCTTGAGTTAGATGTATTATGTGTTAAACACAAATGATTTTGATGATAACAAATTAATAAGTAAAAACAAAAAACTAGTTCGGTTTCTAATATATTTGTCATATTAAAAACTGTCTTAGTTTTTTTACAGTTCTTTGTTTTGTGATATTTTCATGGGTATTATAGGAGTTTCTAGCATTGGTTGAATATGTATTTGTACTTCGAAAGATCCTATATTTCTATTGGTTCTTTCAGCTCTATATTCTGAGGATCTAGTTTTAAGTTAATCAAATTACCTTTTATCTTGAATCATATGTTTCTTCAGATTGCTTTGTTTGCATTTTCAATGATAATATTCTACCATTTGTGATGTGAACTTTGATATCATTTCAGGGTTTTTATAGTCTATTACCTTTTTTCGAAACATAAATTGCAACCATGTTTTAAAACAATCGTTGCCGATCTATCTGCAACCCTTTCTAATACATTTTGTTGGGAAGGTTTTGATTGATCTGTAGATAAAGAGGTATTGCTATCGGATGAGTTCATGCATTTTCACTTACTATTGTTTAATGCGTTCTTCTTGTTTGTTAAAGGTTTAAGATTACAGAAGGTTCTTTTTCAATATATTTTACTTTTTGTTATGATGAATCTAATTGCCTTTATTGCATGTTTTATGTTTTTGTTATTTTTGCCAAAGTTGATTGGTATGCTTGGAAAGCAAAGAAAAAATAATGGGCTTGAGAATTTTCTTTTACAGGATAAGCAAGTTTATTTGAGGAATGTCCTTAGCAGACAGGCCGGTCATTTGCAAGAAATTGCAAGAAATTCAAGATTCAAGGCTCAGAAAAAACTTCTTCAATCCGACCTCTTTGGATTCAAGATTCAAGGCTGAAGGCCTTCGGATTCAAGAAGCTTTTTGGGATCTTGAATCTTGAATCTTGGATCCAATGTACTTAGGGAAGGGTGGGGTGGGAACAAACTTGCAAAAAAATGCAATTTTTGATCACCAAAAAATGCCCTAAGTTTTAGAGTTCAAAATGTTAATAAAAACACTGTAAATAACACTAAATTTGCTTGAAAGTTAGGTCTTGGGGGGGTACCATATAAATATATATATATATATGACTCCCTGCCAAGCTGCAAATCAAATCTTTTGGCCAGAAGACGTGCATTGTTCTGCACTCTGATTGTTTGATACTTGCATGTCTCCATACCATCCTCGATTTCTGAGGTTTAGTTGGAAGACATCAATAAAATAAAATGGTATATATATATATATATGAATAATTGTCATATCATGTCATATCATCGTACTTGACAATAACTCCTCATTGTGCCCTTAACCCGTTTGCAGTACCTTCTATGGATCCTAACGGTTAAGAGCACTTCCGCACCATCTCTGCCTTGCCACCAAACTGCGACACGTCCAAGCCATGCTTCTCGGACCTTATCGTTGGGTCGATCTCCAAAAGATGGACCATTGATCTCCCCCAAAGATGGAGCTCACATTGGAAATGCACAGTTTTTCGCATCCAAAATATCCAGGTGGGAAAATGTCCCTAAGCCTCTAAACAGTCAGAAGTTGGAACTGACCTTGTCGTGCACATCTGATCACATTACAAGTAATCCAACATGGCAATGGAAATGGAAATTCACCATTTTGGATGCCAAACCTCCATTTTTGAATGTTCAACCTGAGGCTTGAAAATATGGAGGCTTAATGGAGGGTTAATATGAATTTCATAATTGGCAGTGTGTCAAAACCTTGTACCCCTGGTGAACATCAAAATAGCTGGTAAATGGATGTTCATCCCACTAAAAATGGTATTAATAGGTATTGATCCATTCCCAATTCTTGAATTCCTCCATTAAGCCTCCATATTTTCATCGGGGGCGCGGAGAAATCCTCCGGGTTTCCGAGTATCGTAATGATCTCGTTGGCGAGGTTGCGCACCTTCGCCCGAGGAACGTAGCAATTCTCCAACAAGTTCTCCAGCACCTGGGGGCTACCCATGTTACACCGACTGGGGATGGTAAACATAGCAGCCATAATAATCATAAACAGGGTGATGACTTGGGGGATGGTGACTATGACATTGGGTTAACATGGCTTCACCATATAAATTATATTTAATTATCATTATCCATCATGCTGTCATAACTCACTTGTGGAGGCAGTGAAGATTGCAATATTGCAAAATACTTGGCAAGTCTTAAGTGTACCGTTTGGTGAGAATTTCTGCTCACCATTGAACAATATCCGCCATCTCAGAATGGGGTTTTCTGAGCGTCGCAAAATGCCCGAACATCAACACAATCAAAGCACTTATTTTGAGCTTTGGTGTCGTGGTCATATCCCCCCTAAAATTGCGAACCATCGGAGGCCGCCCGTGCAAATTCCCGTAAGCAGCCGGTGCAGCCCAAGCACACCGCGGAAAGACAAGTCCTTGCAACTATAACCTGACAGAGACAGATCGCTGCGTCATTTTCCAAGTCGGATCACCCACCCAGAGAGCTCGCCTGCAATGAAAACCATTGCAACCTCAAGCGCAGCCACTTGTCAATGCTTGTCATATTCATCATCATCATCATCATCATCAACAACAACATTAACATGAACCATTAATTGTCATCAATAACCATCATCAACCATTCATAACTAGAACTAACCATACTAACCAAATCATCACAATTTCCACGTATGTTCCCGAGGCTCACGGCACATGCTTCAGGTCCGGTGGAAGCCAATGAACACATCACGGACCTCGTTGAACAACCGTCGATTTGGTCCCTAGTCGTCGAACTTCCCGGGAAACAAACATGCCTGGCGAATCACCCAATGAAAAATGGAGGAGTTGATGATCTTGATGGGAAAATATGGAGAAATCCCCTAGATGTTAATGATTTTACTGGGAAAATGTCAGAACATCATCCAGAAATGGAGGTTTTCATGGGAAATCCCTGAACTAAGTCTGCATTTCAATGGGAAAATCATCGAACAACATGGAAAATTCTCCAGCCGTGATCAGTTTTCCGAGCACTCAACAATCCGACTCTGCGAAAATCTGGATGATGGTCTCGCCTCAGTTTTCGGACCCGATTGGGGCCCCAAGGCCGGGGAAGAAATGGGAAAGACTAAACCAAACAGGAAATCTCATGGAAATAGAATGGAGGAAACATGATTTCCAACATGTATCCTCCAACTTTCTACCCAATTTGGATCCACCAACAGTTGTAATAAAGAAACGGAAATGCCCCATCTTCCAGCATGGTATGTAATGGTGGGGACACATTTTAGCATATGGCGGCATGCAATGAACAATGCGCTTAACTCCAGATTCTTCTATCGCTACTTGGCTCAAATCCTTTTCAGCACCCAGTTCTGTTTCTCCCGCATCGGTTCATAGATCACGGCAGGAGGTCAATGCAATGACATGGTGACATAGCACATTGGTAGACCTTCAGTCAAACAGCTCGTCCTTGCGACCAAACACTGTACAAAAATAAATAGATCATATTCCGGAGCAAGGGTTTGTCCTTTTCAATCATAGATTGGAATGACTGGGCATCAACCCTTGGGCTTCAGCCCAGGGTTGATGTCCAATCATTCCAATCTATGATTGAAAAAGACAAACCATTGCTGCGGAATGGACCTCTCAGCCAGCACGTCAATCACCGCTCTGGGTGGACGTGGGCTAAGCTGACACATTGTTGGCCTGTACACTGTTATCATCATATGAGCGTGTCTGAAGAATGGAGCCCAAATGGACATGTTCATACAAAAATTCATGATTAACCATGAGATTTGGCGAGCCCTATTTTCAGAAAAAAATATGTGTATAAATATATATATATATATACAACCTTAAAAAAAAAGAAACAGCTCATTGCCGCCCAGTTCTTGGCAACAAAGACTCGAGGACTTTCAAGGCTGCTTCGCTGTCCTCAACGCTGAAACCTTTGCGAAAGCTCTCTCCTGCCACGGAAATCACGATGCCCAGATAGTGAGGGCCTCCAAAAATGAATTCCCGATGTCCGGAGCCCACCCGTTGTTCAGCGCCATTCCCCAGGCTTCTGTCGAGTGTGCAATTCCCTGGTCAGTGGCGAAAGAAACTTGAGCATCGCCAATCTCGATCCTCTTGTCGCAAAAAGGGAAATAGTAGGACTTAATCCTGATGTGATCAGCGTCCACAAACTTATCCTCGTAAAGTGCCACACTTTCCGCCATGGTGATGTCTGCCCACTGAGCGCGCCGCTGTAGATTGACTTTGGTTTTCTGGTCTCAAAGCTGAGAAGCTACCGGAGCGTTTTGGTGTCCCTTTAGTCAACCCATGTGTAGATGGTTCTTGTGGAGGCATTTAGTATAGAATTAGTTTTTTTTTCTCTTGCCAGGCATTCAGTCGCAAACAATCGCAACTCATACGAATTCTTCGGCGCTTGGCATGATCTCATACTACCCTTTGTCTCGCTGCCCGTAAAATGTTATTGTGTTGAAAAGGGTCCCCATAGTCTGTGTGGCTTATCCGATTGTGGATGATTTCGTTAGACCTAAACAACCACTGCTGTCTAGGGCGTCCAACTCGATGCCTGCCAATATTGATGGCTTCAGCGCTATCTTACATATAACTCATATAACCCAGTAATATCACATCCCAATCATCTTTGACTGCCATGATGTGATAGTGATTGATACCATTGATACCCCATATCCCCACCATATCCCCATGGGAATCAGCTGTCACCACCTCTGGGGAGCCACACTTGTTTTCAGCGAACTCTTCATTGAACCTCGGTCGCCGAACCACTGGCACTGGCGAACGGAAGGAAGTGATAGAGGAGACGTCTTTAAATAGTAGGGAAAACATGGAAAAGGTCAGTTTATATCTACTGGGCCAACTCGAGTTGCCAGTGCTGAACAAACCCACTCCACCGTCGACTGCTTGTGGCCAAGTCACCGTTTCATGAGAAAGGAAATATCCGGCGTCTCGTTGAATTCATGCCTCAATAAAAGACCAAATCAAAACACTGAGTTAAAACATGTTAAAACCAACTGATTGGGCATTGAGTACTACATAAACATCTATGTCTATTATGTTTACATAGTCCAACTCATCAACAACAACAACAACAACCACCACCACGACGACGACGACATCATCATCATCACCATCACCATCATCATCATCATCATCATCATCATCATCCAGTCAACAGATTATCAAAATCACGGATTATCAAAATCACGGGGAATTGTTTTTTCAACAACTATAAAACAAGATGCCAATCAACATAAGACAACAGGCCATATCAACATAAGATGTCATACCTCTGAACACCAGAACCGCAAGGAGGCACCGTTTCCGCACGACTTCACACAAGCACCCTGTACGTTCCCATCAAGATTGGGTGGGGTCACTCAGCAATGACCCTGCACTCAGGAGCCAACACTAAGATTCGAGGCAACGTGGCATACCTGGGTCGTCACTCAATGCTACAAGGTCGCTGGAAGAAACTACAAAGGGCAAAAAAAAATCGTTCAGACTAGACCCTGCAATGGACCAAGCCCCGGAATGAGGCTCTGTTTTCTGTAAGCAGCCAGCATAGGGCTCATCCTGACTAGACCCCTGCAATCAACCTGTATTTGCAGTTCTGTTGTATACCAAAAACAAAGCTAGCACGAGGCTCGTTTTGGATTGGCCCGAGTCAGCATGAACCTGCACTTCTGCTGTATCTGGCTAGCATAAGGCTCATTCTGACGGACCTTGCAATCAACATTCATCATCGATATTCTGTTTTGTATGGCTAACAACCGGCTCTAGTTGACTTCGCCCTACTAAAAGCTTGAGTCGGAACTCTGCCTTCCACAGGTAGTATCCGGCTCATGATTGATGACTTTGAAATCAGCACAACTCAGCATTTATGCTGCATATGGCTGGTATACAGCTCATCCCAACAAAAACCCTGGAATTAGCTCATCAACCATTGATATCCCTTAGACTTGGTCCCAATAAATGGGGTTAGGGTGGGTTCCGCGCTGCTGATGCCGAGATTGCAATTACTGTTGCTGTTGTTATCTGATCAAGCTGTTGCTGTGTCTGGATTATTGAATGGTGAAAGTTGGTCCTTCTTGTTCTTGTTCTTGTGCTTGTTCTTGTTGTTGTTCTTCTGCTTCTGCTTCTTCTTCTTCTTCTGCTTCTTCTTCTTCTTCTTCTTATTCTTCTTCTTCTTCTTTTCCTTCTTATTCTGATTCTTATATATTCTTATTCTTTTTCTTGTTCTTCCTCTTCCTCTTCTTCTTCTTCTTCCTCCTCTTCCTCTTCCTCTTCCTCTTCTTCTTCTTCTTCTTCTTCTTCTTCGTGTTCTTCTTCTTCTCCTCCGTGTTCTTCTTCTTCTCCTCCGTCTTCTTCTTGGTTTAGCCACTTTGGCAGCCATTTCCTGCACTCCAGAATCATGAATAGCCAAGTTCAGCCACTGAGACGCAAACTGAGACCGGAAGCGAAATAGAACACTGCCAACAGCAGCATGCACTTCATAGATCAGAGCTGCAAAGGAGTACCTGCAGATAGTAGGCAATGGCTGGAAAAACATCATTGCAAACCATTCTCAGCGCCAAGTGCACATTCTCAAAAAATTGCTCTGGGTCCCCACCCACAAACTCACAAACTCTGCATTTTGCAGAAAAAAAATGAGCTGCTCTCATGCTTGCGCAAGACCCAACAAGAGCTGAGTTCATGGTTCTTTCCCAAAAATTGGAACAGTTATAAATTGTGGATAATAACAATAACAATAAATAATAATAATGTGATTCTATTCTGAGATATTATCATTACAATGAATCTCAGAATCTCTCTAAAAAGTTCGGCCACCAATGGACGATTCGCTGGCGCACGAGTGGTAGAAGACCGCCCATTCACCGCACAGCCTCGCTTCGTTGGCTTCGAACTGGGCGAAGCATTTCTGGCACGGTGCAGGCGACGAAGGCCGGAATGCATGGAAGATTTGGGGCTTTCCATAAATGGAGGGGGTCTCCAAAATGTTGGTTTATGATGGGACATCCTCTTAAAATGGATTGCGGGGTACCGGCATACCTCCATTTATGGCTCGAACGAAGTTGACGGCGAATATGACGAAAACCTCTGGTTCTTCGAACAAAAAGGACCCGAAATCGGTTCCATCTATTTTAACTCCATAGGGCGTCATCCCCAAGGGGAGCTCCCCGCCGCCTTTGCGTGCTCGTTGCCTTCCAGCACCTTGTATGGGTGCATCGATGCACCACCACCTTGCGGCGGCTGGAAATAGCCCCACCGCACATGACATAGCCCTTGCACATAATGACAACACGACATCCCCACCAAGGACCGGGCGCTTGCTCTGGGGTCCATACCTCGATGAAATCTATGGCATCAATCTATAGCAATGTTAGTAAAGCAATGATAAACCACCCAATGGTTTATAGCAGCCATTGATGGTCAAATTGGGCATGGCATCAATCTATAGCTTTACCAACATTACAGTACTTGAAAATGGTAATGGAAAGCCAACGTTTGGAAGAAGATCGTCTTCCGCTTGGAGCCGTGGATTTCTACAGCTCTCAAACTATGCTAGCAGTCATATATCATAGCATGTCTGCATATAAATGTATGCATCTATTTACTGTATGCATTCATGTGTATTGATGTGTATTGTATATACTGTAAACCTGCAAGATTTCTCGAAGACAATGGTTGAAGCTTCAATTCCTTGAGTGACCCCCTGGTGCTGCTTGCCCTGGGGCGTCCAAACGCTTTCTGCGTAGCCACTTCCGGGGAGACCGGTGCCTGGGCGCATATACATATAATATACATGTAAATGTGGCGTAGGCGATGCATGATTAGATTGTATTATGTTATTGTTATATTAAATTAAATGATAGTGTATTATATTATTATATTAAATATATATATATATTGTATCTTGCTATATATTATATATATATATTGTATCATACAAAATCTGCGTATATATAATATATGCCAATGGCCAATATGTGTTCAATCTGTCTGGCAATTGTATCAACTGCATGTTCATGCAATTTCTACCTGGAACAAGTTCTATGGTGGCAGTGTTTGGTGGTGGTGTTGGTGGTGGCGGTAGTGGTGGGTATGTCCTTCACTTCTCGCTCGCAAAATGAGGGCGGTTGTAGTTTTTGCGGAGTGTTTTGCTGGAAATGGTGATAGCGACCCCCACAAAGATAGAAAAGTTGGAAACCTGGGAAATTGTGGAGAAAACATAGAAGTACCATCCTGAAAATACCGTTTGGCATCTTTTTTGGGGTTGCTGTAAAAATTTAGTAAGTAGAGTACATCCCAAGAGTTCCAATAGTTTGAAACACTCATAGCAACCCCCAAACAGATAGAAAACTTCGAAACCTTGGACATTATGGAGGAAACATCATCGAACTACGAGTACCATCCAGGAAACACTGCTTGCCACAGTTGATGTTTTATTTATAGACTATAGATTATTTTCCCCAGCTAGAAACTTCCATTTGGTTCGGGGATTTCCAATTGAATTGCTATGTTCGATTACCATTTGGTCCGTATCATGTAATATCCCAGTGTATTCCTTTTTTGTGGGCCCCTCTTTTTACCACCTATAGTGGGCCCGAATTTTTAAACCACCATTTTTGTTGGTTAAAGCCACATGTTTGATGGCTGAAGCCCTATATATTGTTGGTTACCCCCTGGTAATGTAACGTAACTATGGAAAATCACCATTTATAGTGAAATTTCCCATGAAAAATGGTGATTTTCCATAGTTACGTTAGTTTACCAGAGGGTAAATCACCATTTGACAAGTGACACTGGACGACGCCGCCGGCTCCGTTGCTGCGTCCCGAAAGGCACTGTCCATGGCGCGCGAGGCGCTGACCGCCACATCCTCCTAGGGGCCAAGGGGTGGTTTCACCAATAAAAATGGGTATGTGTTAGGTTTATGATGGGTTCAGAATGATGGATCTTGCTAGGATATACTGGGCTTATATTGGGTATATATATATATGAATTATATATATAATGACTATTATTACTATTTATATATATATATATTGGGTTTATGTATATATATATATTATATATATATTATAATAATATGTACAGTGACAGTATATATGTATATACATATTATATTACGGGATGGGTTAAACATGGAGGTTTAAGCCACTTCAAATGGATTTCTTTGGGGATATTTTTCGTGGGATTTTGTGGCACAAAGTTAACCAAGCAAATTCCGTGTTCACAAGGTACCGGTTTGTGAATGGGGAATGCCACTCATTCAACTATTGCAACTATGATCATCCACAATATTTGGGGTACTAGTATAACCGCAATCAACGGCGGATTGAAACAATGCTCAAATGTCGGGATCGCCTTATTAAGATGGTGCCCCAGTTCATTACCTAAATTGCTTGAGAAAACTCCAATGACTCGTTTACGGGGGTGTCGGGGGTGATATATTTACCGGGGGTTATAAACCAACAAAAAGAACAGGGGGGCAGCAGCTTGGTCAAAGTGTTATTGAAACCAGTGAACACCTACTAAGGACTCTTCAAGCCCCTTAACTTCCATGAGATTGGGAGGATACGGATTTGATTATCTTCGATTCATTGGGTGTGTCTGAAAATGGGGTATACACACCCTGCAAAAGGCCACTTGAATGGGGAAATGATGTTCAACCAGACACATTGGGGTTCAACTGGATCTGCCGACCGCAAGAATTTCCCATCGTGTTCTTCAAATGCTGTGACCATTTCAATCCGTTTCCTTCCAAAATAACATCACTCTTTTCACTCAATCTACCCTCTGGTAAACTAACATAACTATGGAAAATCACCATTTTTAATGGGAAAATCCACTATAAATGGCCATTTTCAATAGCTATTTTGACATAACCAGAGGGTACAACCCCATTTTTTTCTTCGAAACTCAAATCATTTTCATTTTGTCATCCACCAGTTTGACCACCCATGACAGCAGCGTCCTCGGGCACAGCTTCTTCTTCCCTCGCGTCCAAGATCCGGAGTCTTCGCCTGCACTGGGAATCAACAATGGAGATATTCCACAAAATCTTCCGGGATGTAGATAGGACACCTCTGCAAAATTCTCCAACTGTGGTAACTGTGGTCTTTAATCTATCCGTTGTCTGCTGAATGCCACATTTCAGCCTCGCCGGTCTCTTCGAGCTATATCCCAGGGTGAAATTTTCGTCCCGGCCTCTTCCCAGTGCTGATATTGATCTGCTGTCCACCTCCTTCAGGGCCTGGACTGCCGAGCTGCTGGTTTCTACTGTTCCCCTGTTCCCCGTGTCCGTGCCCCCCATGTCCTGAGAAGTCGATCTTGTAGTTCTGACCGCGGGCATGGATCCTCAGAACACGAGCACAAGGGTCCAGGGAGGACACGACGTGAACAAATGAGCGCCCATGATTCCTGGCGGTCAGTTGACACGACGGAAAATCCTGAGCAATGAGTAATGCTGAAACAACACTTGGCTCCCAGGCTGAAACACCAGTTCTCCTTTTGCCAGTTGTTGACAGATTGCACGCATCCTCATGGGCCCCATAGGGATGATACACATCCTAACTCACCAAAAATCCAAAAGGATTGCTGACACGACCCATCCATAGCTGGTTGTTGCTTTTGAAAGGTAGCTGATGTGCCAACACATGAAAGGAAGCCATTTTTAACGTGGGACACCCAAACACATAAGCTTTGGTTTATAGAACCCATTTATGGTGATTTTGGGATGGAAGAAAAGGCACATTAGTCACAAATCTCGCTGCCAGAAACTCTCCAGTTCTCAGGGCAAGACTCTTCGGTGGAGCAATCCTTCCATCCGCCCTCCAGTTCTATCTGGACGCGAACCTCACCCCGCTGATGGTTTGTTGCAGAATGCGGATGCCCCCCAGGGTTAGCTCTTCCCAAAAACATTCAAAGACCAAGCATCATCAAATCAGGTTCTAGTCTTTGTTCAAAGTACAGATGGGTTCACCAAACTGGCCCGAAAGCATCCATTCTTCAACATCCGAAGCTGTTTCTGGGATCAGCTAGAAATCACAAATGCCGGGCAAATCACCAGTGATTTATCTTCTTCGCCCTAGGCTATCGATTGAATCCCGAGCTGCATCCAAAGGTTCGTCATCCGCATAGCCTGACTTCCTGCGGCCGTTCTGCGAGCGATTTTGAGCGATTTCTGGGTGCATGAGTTGATGGGAGATTTGATTGGGTCGAAGTAAGGAGATAGGCACACTGAAAAATATCTTCAATATCTTGAATCAACAGCCCTAAAAACACAACCATCATTTTCAGACTTCACAGGTGCAGATTCAGATTGATAAAATCCACAATGTCTGAAAATGTCTACTGGATTTCTGGATTGATAATGTGGAACCATCATTTATCATCTATCATCATTTATCATCTGGATTTCTGGAGGTCCACAATTCTCATGTCCGTTGCGTCCCCAACAGATGAACTCTTGGCCAAACAGCCCGACACCTGTTCGATGAAGCCAGCGCTCGAGCAGGCGTCACCTGCAAAATACTTCCCACGGAGTGTGGCAACCTTTGCTCCATGGCAACATGGCTGAGAACATGGCTGAGTTGATATCATGGAATTCATCCCAAAAAATCTGAGGAAACCAACAAATTTTCGAGTCCCAAAAAAACGAGGCGCAGCATTGCTGCATGGTCTGAGGCGCCGCACTGGGCTCTTGTCACCTCCAGCCATCCAGGTCAGATCATCTTCATCCATCCCTCCCTGGGCCATGGGATGCCGACCCGCTTTGTTGGTTCCTGGTTACTTCTTGATTGAGGATGTTTGATCCATAGACATCTGAAAAATGACAACAAAAAAGGGGCCCGAAAAATCGGATGGAAGCCCCGAAAAACAAAGATGATTGACTAATTAATGCCCTCCCATTTGGTGACTTGGATTTGTGTCGCACTAGATAAGAATCTCCATCTTCAGCAAAGAGATGTGACTTTTCTCCAAAATTTTCACGGCCTCGGACGGCCCAGGTGGAACTTTGCCCGGGGCCTGGGCGTATCACATAGCGGAGGTATGACAAGGTGGTATTTGATATTGAGATGGGATGAGTTGGGATGTAAAGGGTTTTGAACAATGTGGATATATGATCTATATATGATCTATATATGATCTATATATGATCTATATATGATCTAGTCTATATATGATCTATATATGATCTATGGGGCTGATGTGGGCATCACACACATGTTGGAAACACCAAAAAAAGTTGTGGGATAGTGTGGGTATAAACACCTATGCTTGAGCACATATTGGTATGTGTATCCTTACAGGAAACGATCCTGTTGTATCTTACTGATTCTTATTGATTCCATGGTGTGGTCACCTACCCACAAGCCGGCAGTGCCAGCAAGGGCTGAGCGGGTGTTGAAACGTAAACACATCAAACATGATGTGAGCATGTGGAAAAAGTGGACTGAAACAAACGATGCTCTGCTAAATCAGTTTCTAGCATGCAGAATGCAAAGCAGCTGATGGAAACAATGCCAAGAAGGAAGTCACAGTTTTCTTTGCAATATACCTTTGTGATTGTACAAATTCGGCATGCAAAAAAAAATCAAGCAGTTCAGTCCCCCCCTGCCCCAGCGCGATTTAGGTGTCCAAACGTGCTCCGATACCCTCGACTGTGGGCAACCCATATTGCCTAGCGCTGGGGCCCCCTGGGGCCCCAGGATTGGCTTCAGACAACAAATTCCAACAACCCAAGCCTGCAAATCACTGGGCTACTGGCGCGCCCATGAAAAATTGAGCGGGTTGAAATGCCCCGGTTCTATTGTTGGTGAAAAGTAGGATGATACCCCAAGTGGATCAACGCATCTTCTATCTTTTGGTTACTATAAAAGTGGTGCAAGAAAGGCCACACTTTAAGGCAGGTGATTTTTAAACGCAACCGCTTTGCTGAACGTGAAAACAAACAAACTGCTACCGGTTGGCAGTGCCATCCAAATGGTGGATCCACCAGTGTTACACATCTGCCGGACGAGGGGAAATAGAAATAAGTGAGCGGCTGGAAGAGCACATCGCATAAATATACTAAATATACATAATAAATATACATAACTAACATGATTTGATCGATCATATATGATCGCATCATCTGCATGTTTTGGTGGAAAGTATCCAGCCAAATGCCTGCAAAACAGCGGTGAAATCCGGCAAAACATCAGCACCAGCATGTTTTCTCAGTCAAAAACTTGCAACTGGAATTGCAATCGCAAATGGCTACAAAACTCAATGAAAATCTGCAGAACACAAAAGTCATCATGGTGTTCGACATGACATATATAATTGGGGTCGCCCCATTCCTGCACATGAGGTGCGCATCGTGTTCCCGCATATTGATCACACCAAGGATAACTAATGTGGTAAACTTATTATCCAAGAATAAACCCGAATTGGTTCTGTGGTAACTATTCTTGGGTTCACTACATTATTCTGGTTCTCCTGGTACGTTTCCATCCATTTTCTCAACCGCCGCTCGTCGGTGATTCTCCAAGCGAGCCGATCGTTGTGGGTTAATCTGCCTCGGTACCCGGGTGAACACCAATAATCGCTTGTAAAATGTGGTACAATAGATGCTCAGAAACTGTCAGAAACCCCAGAAACGGGAGTTGAATGGATTTAATGGATTTAAATGGACTTTGCTTTACCCCCAGTTCTGCTTGATTTAAATGATGATAGAATAACATGCTAAGCAACAAAATAGAGGAAAATGGTGCTAGGCTCTGGTGATCCAAGAATTTGTTGTTAAAAACTCACCATTGTTTAGAATGCACATCTAATGGGATCTTTTCTGCGAACTGTTATAAACTGCTTAAATTGCCACGTTTCAACACATTCTTAGTACAGCATCCAGGTTGCATCCAGGATATCCCAAGACGAAGGTCCCGGGCTAGTTCTCCTTGGACATTGATTACAGCCATCTTTTGATTGCATTTTAGAGGAAATCATCCAGGATACAGGCGATTCAACTTCGATTCACCGGTCAGTTCGCTATGCAGGGCTTCAGGCCCCAGCAGTTGGGACCAACACTTCGCCCTTGCACACGGCGAAGGCGAGATGGCTTTCTTCGAGCCAATTAGAAGATGGCAGGAAGGAGGCAGTGAAAGAAATTGGAGACAGTTAGAGTCTAAGAGATTCTTTTTTGATTGACGAAGACACTTGAGACACTTGGTCGCCTGACCATTGATGTCGCCAAGTGCCCATATGCACTGATCACACTTCGGCCCTTCCTGTTCACTTCAGATTCGACTTTCCCAGGTTGTGTTTCCCGGCGAGTCGTGAATCTAATGCTTCAGATACCCCCTGAAGTTTTTCAGCATCCCTGTCCAGGCAAAGGAGCAAACCCTGCAATGCTAGTACCTAAAAAAAGATCCAAAACATTAAAACATCAGAAACTTATCATTAAAACATATTAAAACATATTGACGCGTCTTTTTCTGAGTAAGAAAACATTCTTTCAGATCAAACATCGGTGTTCTCCTTTGCCCAACACCCCCGCTAGCCGCCATGGCTTTCAGCCCTCCATGGCAACCGCTTTGCGCTTGCGGCTCGCCGCCGTGAAGCTCCGGCGCAGCGCTGGCAGCGCTGGAACTTCGTCACCTTTCATGCGTTGAGTCGCTGGATGTCGCTGGTAATATCTAACATAGGCATACATAGGCCGTTTAATCATGTCAAGGTGCTTGAAATCACCAACATGAATCGAAATGAGACATGTGCCAGCCCCTGTTCCGAAACCATCGCTTTTAAGCCAGTCAAAATTAACAGGGGAAGGGGGACCGTCACTGATTGATAGGTCACTCAACAAGGCAAGAATCCTGAATTCCATTTGTAGCTTGTAAATACTTGTAACAACATTGAAGTTGGTTAGACCGCATACACCATGGATTTTGGAGGATTTCCATGGATTTCCCAAGCAAATCAGCACATCTGTACAGTTCCCCCAGACTCCCAGATCTGGACCTGCGCTTGGATCTGCCGAATCCTCGATGTCAGGATCCACCCACTCCACGTTGGTCCACCTTAGATCATACTGACCAAAATTGGATTTGCCACTCCACATTTTTTGTGCCCATGGTATACACTACCCATGGTATCCCATGGTATCTCCAATACCCCAATTCTTGGATGCTTCATCTGTTCAAAGTGGTCACAACTTGGGCCGGGAACATGACTGAGGGCGCCACTCATTGTCACTCACCAGTTCCCAGAGCTTGGAGACCTCCTGTCCAAAGTCCCGGGACCAGCCGTTTGTGACACCTGCCAGCTGCCTTGGCGAAAATGGATGATCCAAAGAGAAGGGGATAGGACAGATAGGACAGACCAGAATAGAATAGAATAGAATAGATGAATACATAGGTAGATATATTCAATTGAATTGGATTGGGTTTGGTTAAGGATACGGAAAATTAGACTAGATTAGATCAGATAAGATACAGATAAGATAAGGATTACATTGATTACATCAAGGTTAGATAAGATTAGAAAACGATTAGATTAGATAAAGATTGGATTAGATAAAGATTGGATTAGGTAAAGATTGGATTAGGTAAAGATTTGATAAGATAGAGATTAGATAAGATTAGAAAACATAGACAAAAATAGATAAGAATAGATCAATAGAAGATAGATGGAAGGATAGATGGATAGATGGATGGATAGATGGATGGATAGATAGATAGACAGGTAGGTAGGTAGGTAGATCGGTAGATCGATAGATGAACAGATAGTTGGATGCTTGATGATGCATGGGTAGATGGATGGGTAGATGGATGGGTAGATGGATACATGGGTGGATGGATGGATAATTAGATCATTAGATCATTAGATAAGTAGATAAGTAGATAAGTAGACAAGTAGACACGTAGCTAAGTAAACAAGTCGATAAGTAGATAAGTAGATATGTTATGACTATGAGTATGTGGATATCTATTCATGTAAGATCTATGTCTGAATGTGTATATCAGTTTTTCCAAAGTGGCAGACCGGGGCCCACATGTCATCTTCAAGTACCCACCACAACCAAAGAAATATATAGCGGAGATCCTCGCAGAACCTGTGCCATTTCCATGGGGGGGTTCACCGGGTTCAGCCTTCCATCTTTTGGGGGATGTGTCGATAGCCAACTTGATATGATCTTTGGGAGTGTCAATGGGGAACTGACCCGATGCGGAGATGTCAAGTTCCAGTTTCCTGTTTCCTCCAGTTTCATCACATCAAGTCAAAATGGTGGTTCAGGTTGTAGCCGGTCCAAAACTGTCTGGAAAAACCCTGAGAAAACCTGGTACTTCCAAGACCTTTCAAAACCCTGTCTAATTTTTAAAACCATGGCAAGTCTAAAAAGATCCAGAGGCTACAAAGTAAGTGGTGTATAAACTAGTTGGTAAATCCCCTAAATGGTTTATCAGATGTATAAATGGGTTATAACTTATATAACTTATAACCTCAGTCACTAACACTATTCCCTTGTTGGACGAAACAACAGCTGAGGCGCACAAGTTTCACCACTGCTTCTGGACCACCGAGCCGTTGAAGGATCAGCACCAAATCCTGCCATGGAAAATGCGCCACGGTACCCAAACATGGGCTACACATAGCATGCTTCATCCATGTGTTGATGGGTAAAAGCCAACAAGAAAACACCAGAAGTCACCAAAAAAAAAATCAGCGGAGAAGTTTGAGACTTGTTGCATTTACCTTGTGGTCATGAATCTTCACTGGCGGAGCAACTGATAGATTGACTAGGGATGCACCGCTTCTTAGCCACCGGATTCGGTGAGAAAAGCATAGCGACCCCTGGAAGTTGGAAGGGAAACCAATCTCAAAATGTTTCCAGATTCTTCAACTATCCTCAACTCTCTCAAGAGCAGTTTTAAAAAAAACCCTCTTGATTGATGATTGCATGGGGTTATACTATCATTACTATCCAACATCAACCAGACGACACCACACTCCACCAACCAGACAGACGTCACACTGAGAAATCCTCACCAACCAGGAGACGACGACGACATCACCGCCACGCCTCAGGCAGATTGCTCCAGCGTCTGCGAACGGTGGCCAGCTCCCCAGGCATCAGGTTGCCTTTTTCGGTCGCGATAGGGGGAACCCATGGGAAAACAACAGAAATCAGTGGCGAAGCAACAAAAATGAAGGCTATACTACGCATGATTCTGTGGGATATAATGAACCAACTTGATATGACCTTTGGGTGATTTTGGGTGTCCGCAAATGATGGATTTCCCCACAAATTACGAGCATTCTCATGGGGAAAATCACGCCTCCAACCATGGGACTTTGACGATCAAAGGCACTACATACTTCACGCTTGGGACTGCCACATAACTTGAAAACATGTGTCTGGCCCCAGGGATGCATGATATACATATATTCATATAATTACACTTGTATAAAATTCACATATATATATATACATATATATATATATACATATATATATACATATATATATATAATCATACTTGTATATATGTAATATATTGTAATATACTTACCTTTTAATCACCCAATGCCCGACTACAACCTTCATTTTGATCCAAAGTCCACCCTCAAATGTACCCATGATGATCCACCTGCCAAGTTCTTCCGCTTCTGCACAGTCTTCCCTGGGCGCTCTTCGAATATGGTCATGGAAAATCCACCATCTGTAGATGGTCTTCCGGCAAAGTTAAAGTGTTGGCATTTTTCCATTTTCATATGTGATTTCTCAGTACCCTACCATCCGGCAACTGGCCACTGTACACCATTGCGGACCATTGCTACAAAAAAACGTACGTTTCACGCCAAATTTGTTGGGTCTAAACTTGGAAAAGGTCAAAATGCGATGACTTGGGGGCCTTAGCTCGCACAATTGTACCCTGCAAGCCTGGCTTTCCAAACATGGTCTGATCGTTGGCCCATTAATCCCATGAATCCTGATTGCTTTGACTCATCCCACAGTCTACATCCATCTTTGGTGCTAAAAAATTCCAAAGTTCGCTTAGTTAAAACTTAAAACCCAATCCTGCTTGGTAAAACCAAATGTTCCTGGTTGAAACCCAATTTAAGGATATTTTGCCACATGTTTCAATCCCATCCCAAGCCCCCTGCAGGAGAAACAACCAGGCTCCCAGAAAAGCCACGCCTGCATAGCACGCCTCACACAGGACCTGCTGCACCTCCCGAGCCAACTGGGCCAGGCTGCATAGTTTCTCCTGGCCCACGGGGGTTCTTGATATGGAACCCTCATTATATAACTACACCAGACATGCCGACAAACCTAAAGTATTTGACAAACTAAAAAATTACTGATAAATAAATTGATAGATTAAAACGACTAACCGAAAGTTATTTAATAGTAACAGTACGCGCAAACACCCCGTTTCGCCCACACCCTTCTTGTCTTGGGAAGATCAACAAAGGTATTAGGGAAGATAAAAGTCCCGCCCCCGTTAAACTTCTACATTCATTGAAGATCTTCAATAAGGGTTTAATTCTCCCATGATGATGATGATGATGATGATAATGATGATGGTGTGGAACGAACCCGCACAGGTCCCTCTGCTGTGCGTTCTGATCTAGAACATCAAGTTAACCATAATGCTAAAACATCCCATTTTTACCACGTTTTCAGCCCATACGAAGAAGGCGGGCCAACAGGCGCGGGCAAGACGAGGAGTTTGGCCGTAACAGTATCAGCCATCCGCACGCCCTTGTCGCTCCTTGTGGGCAATCTGATGGTGCTCAGACTCCGCAGCGACAATCTCTTGCAATCTGATGAAAGTCTTGCAGAGCGCACGCCTGCGAGAGAGTTGTCACAGGCAGTTCGAACAAGAACCATAGTCCGACAGTCCTACAGCAATTTGCGCATTATGCTGGATCTAGAAAGTGTTGTTCAACTGTTGTCGACTCACATTCCAGCACGCTCTTTTCTCGCAACTCCCTTGTTCTAACTGTTGTTGTACACTCCGTTCAATCATCCAACAATACCTGGGCGTGGATCATTTTGTTCAAATCAAATACAGTAAAGATTGAATGATTAATTGTAGTTTCATATCCTAAAAATGACCAGTACACTGCGATGTTTTGATGGGTTTACTTCACTCAACATCTCAAATTGCTCGCTAATATTCTATCATATTGTCAAGAAAAAACTCAATGAACTAAAAATCATTGAAACATCCAATCCAATCATTGAAACATCATGGATTAACTAAAACTTCAATATCAACATCATCGTAACATCATCCAATCCCAATGGTCCAATCCCCATGCCGTGCACGCCGCGTGCACGCCCCACCTCCCAGCCACGCGATTGCTCCAGGGCAGCGTGGCACAGGCGGAGGCCAGCACCGAGACCACGTCGTGGCCCAGGAAGATCCACAGCTCCGCGCGATCGGCGGTGTCCGAGTCCTGAGGGCTGGAAAGTGGAGAAATATGATGGTAAGATAGCGGTAAAATAACGGTAAAACATGGTATGAATCTTGTGAAAACGGTGAAAACATGTGAAAACCATGTAAAGGCAACAATTGTCCACCTTGTGGCGCTGTTTTTCAACTGTCATTGGGATGGAGCAGCCCTGAAAATGATGACAAATAGCAAGCGAGGCAAGGAGGAGTAAGAACCAAAAAACAACTGTCTTGGTAGCTCTTGAAGAATAACACATACTGGGATATCTAATCCCTGGATACATCTAAAATCTTGGTTGGTACGGCATGGTATGATAGACTGATAGACCATGTGCTTTGACCAGGCTTGGACCTGACTGACCTACACGCAAGACATCCAAGTTGCAGCCTGCCGCGCATCGCACTCTTCCAGCAGGAAATCACAGAGCTCCAGAAGGGCCTCAGCCAGCAGTGCCTCTGGGGCCTATCTGTAGACACGTCAACTCCTGGGACTATCGAAATTCCAACTGGTCAAAGTCTGGGTCAAACTTGGAGACACAAAAAAAAACTGGAAGATTGCGACATATGTGACATGCCTCAAGGAATACTCAAACAGCCCCACTCAAAAAGCCCCGCTTACCCCACTTTTAAAATGACCTGAAGCCCTGCCTTCATGTGTGTCTTCTCCTCTTGATGCAACTGGTTCAGGTTCCGCAAGGCCTTCAACATCTTCGCGGCACGAGGGCAGAAGCCCAAGCCCTTGGAGATGGTGCTTCCAAATGGCTGTGGGTGTCGTGGGGAGTAAAATGGAGTAAACCCACAAATAGATGGCATCATTCGTGATATGGCTATGGATCAATACCTATGAAAATACCATCTTTAGGGGGATGAACATCCATTTTAACCCAGCTATTTTCATGTGAACTACAGGGGTACTATTGGTTTTGACACACTGCCATATATACGCGCAAAAATTCTGGCTTTCAGACATGAATCATCCATTTTGGGGTGCCAATATTGACACATACGCACATGGAGTAATGACTAGAAACAAATGAAGGACTGCCATCTACCCCTCAAAACCCAAAACTTCTGGAACTTATTATTCTTTGAATGTTCTTGGGAAAAAAGTCTTTAGTATTTATCAACCCCTGTAAAACATTGTAAAACCCCGAAATCCGAAAGGAATACCCCATGAATTATCCTACCAAACCAAGCTTGGCAATGTCGCCCCAAGCCCCACGCCATAGCTGAGGTACAACAAGAGCATCTAACCCACCAATGCAATGCTGGTGCTCGCAAGGCTCCCCTTTGTGAAGCCTCAACAGGGATGCCCCAACGGGTGCGTCTAAATGAAATTGGTGGTTTGAGTCGAAAAAACGTGGATATAATGGAAAAAAATCGACTAGAATGGGGATATGTTATGGGCTATGGGAGATTAATTCTATAGTTACTGTCATGAACTTGATATGATCTTTGGGTGTGGCTGAAAATGGCGAATTTATATACCCCCACTTTGCGGCAGGTTTTTTGCTGGGGAAAATGATTATCAACCAGTGGATTGAAGGTCAAGTACCCTATTTTCAGACACAGCCAAGCTGCTTGTCAAACGGAAAGCAACCGCTTGAAGCAAAAAAATGGAAGCTATCGATTCAAGTTTTTTTTGGAGCCAATTATGTAATTAAGCCACAACCATCCACTAGAATGGACATGTTCGAATATTCAAACTACTGGTTCCATTGATGTCCCTGCTATAAGTAGTCAAGTGTTGTGAAAATCAAGTATTCCGGACATAACAAAATGGCAGCGGGTTTCACGAAAAATGTGCCCAATAATTCCTCATATAATATATATATATATATTATAAGAATATATAAGATACATTTCTGCGGTTTCAACCCCCTGAAAAACATTGGCAACCATCATCCCCGGATGGAGGTCGGCTACCTCCCCCCACATCCGGTCACATCCCCCACATCCCGCCTGTTTCGAAAGATCTCCTCGACCCCGGCATCAATCATCTGCTGCGCCAAGTCACGATCCTTGGCCTCTGCCGCCTCTCGAGCCCAGGAAACCAAGCGATGCAAGGCGTCGAAGGAACTCTTCTGCAAGCCTTGCGTTGCCGGCGGGACGATCAATGAAAGCCAAAGATCCAAAGAGATGACGAACTGAAGTATTTTAGTAAAGATGGGATATCCCCTTTACTAAACTTTAGTGTTGACCCATCGAGCCATCGAGCCGATGCTTTGATCACCTCACAGGTGCAGAATCGCATCCAAGACACGCGCCGTCGCCGCCGTGCGCGGCTTCAGCAGGCGCTCCGCGCACGCTTTCATCTCGCGCAGCGTCCGCGCGCGCTGCTCCTCCTCTTCCTCCGCATCGGCTTCTCCAGCTGCGCCGTTGGCCAACCCGTCCTGCTTTTCGGCCACGGCTGGGATGACTGTGGCGGCAACCAATGCTGCACCATTGGGTCCAGGAAATTGATGGAAATGGTGAAATGGGGCATGTTTCAAAATGCCCGGTATCTAAGTCTGAGCAACAGCCCAACAATCGCCTGCAACACCTACATCTCCCCAGACCAGGAGACAAGTAAAGAAAAAACTTCACTGGACCCACCCGAGTTGAAGTCACTGTTGGCCAAAAAAAAACCGACCAGTCTGTCACAGGGATTGCAGCGCTCCCCAACTCGAATCATCTCATTTTTGAATTTGGGGTTTCAACGATTCCATACCAACACACTGACCATCTGCGTTCTGAAAATCAGGTACTCCAAAAAATTGAAAACCCAGACCCCTATCGCCCCTATCGCCTTCACAGCCTGCAGGGCCACCACGTCGGCCCCTCCATCATGCGCTGCACTGCGTTCCACCGCCAGCCGTCGCTCCATGTTCTGCAGCGGGGTGGCCAAGTTGGTCAATGGCAACGCCAAGGAACCAGAGAACCCCAAGTGCCCAGCTGTGCGGATGCCCTTCGGACGGGTGTATTCCTGGCGGATGGATATTTTTGGAGGGCCCACCAACTGTGGAACTGGTGGTGGGCAACTAACTGTTGAGAATTTGTTGCTTCTTGAAGACAGCAGCATGAAGTGCATTGCAAACAATGGCCATTTCCATTCTGTGTGTCAATGCTGTTGTCATCACCATTCCAGGCCTCCACAAGCTCTCTCTCCAGCTGCTTCACATCAGCTTGCACCAGGCCCTGCTCGCGCATGGCATTCCAAATCTTCTGCGCCAAGCTGAGGGACATCAGCTGGGAGGCTCCATGCTCTGCACGGCTCACGCCATCCTTGCGGCCCTTCAGATATGCCAGGACCTGGCAGTCGTAAAGGGACGTTCATCCCTTTAAAAATTGTATTTATAAGATTTTTATAGGTATTATCCCCCTAAAAATTGTATTTGTATTTATAAGAATTGTTCCATAGGCATTCGACATCCGACCCACATGCTCCTTCGAAAGGATTGATGTTCAGATTGAAAATGTCCATCATGATCCGAGTGATTTTTTCCGAGCTTGAAATTGGTATCCAACACGCGGTTTTCCAAAATCACCAAATGCAAATACCCTCTGGTGAACTAACAGTTTGCTATGGAAAATGGCCATTTATAGTGGATTTTCCCATGAAAAATGGTGATTTTCCATTGCTATGTTAGTTCACCAGAGGGTATATGCAAATATGCAATCCTTGCTGGCCTTCTTGGCCAGATCCTGGTTTTGCTGCTCATTCTGACACTCCTTCTTGCCTCAGAAAGGATTTCTCCTTCTGCGCCTGGTGAATCTCCAAGCAAAATGCTAAACGGAAGTTTCCATCACGAGGGGAAAAAACAATTTCATAGATGCACGCATTTCAAAAACTGCCATAGAATTTCAACAGAATGGTTGGGAAGATGATTCTCCTGGTCAAACTTGCTATCATGCAGTGATGATGGATGATTTTGGGATAGCTCCTTTGCAAAACATCATGTAACAGGTTTAACAAGTTTACTCCTTGGAAGTTGTAACAATAATGGATTATTTTCCAACATCTAACAATAATCACTTAGTAATGTGGTAAGCCCAAGGTTCAACCATCCCCAATTTTCCAATGTGGGGACCATGTTTCGATGCATCCACTGCCAAGCCACGACGTACCGCAGCTTCGATGGCCTCATTGCCGGCATCGACAGCCAAGTCAGGCAGAGCCTCCTGAGACCGCTGAAGCCGAGCCGAAAAGAGGGATTCCTTAAATGGGTGGCTGCAACCAGGGATATAATGAATGTATACATATTGATAAAATTTCATTTATATACATATACATACATATATATATATTGTATACGTATATTATAGAGATATCTGTGTGTGTATGTGAACATACCCAAAAAAAAAGAAAGGGACACCCTGGGAGTGCGGTTTTTCACTGCATTCTGCAACTACTGATACTGCACATCTGCGATGGTTCTCTCACTGCTTTGCAACAATTGACAATTTCTGCTTGGTTTTTCAGCAATGGCTAAACAAAACCAAAATCAAAAAAAACAAAGAAAACATGACAAGACCCAACTCTCTGCCACTACTCCCCCCTTGGGGTGTGCAATCTTGTTTGTTTTCATTTTTTTGGTTTTTTGTTTTTTTGGTTTCTTGGTTTTTTGGTTTCTTGGTTTCTTGTTTTCTGGTTCGTTGTTGGTTTTTCGAAGGGCTGGCAAAACAACACAAAAGTGACGGACCTAGACCTCACTCTTTGCCAGTTCTCCCACTTTAGGGGTTGCAAACTTGTTTTTGGTTGATTTAATTGGTTGCTTTGGCCTGTGGTTCCATTAGAAAACCATGCCAAAGAAACATGGCAAAATGCAGGTATCACTGGAGAAAGCTTGGGGGCTTGGGACACAGATTAGGCAATTTTGTCTGTCTGTGTAATTTTTCAAAAACTGTGTTGACCAAATCCAAAAACATAGGCAGCCAATGAATGTGTAGAACTGATTTTGATATTGACATTGTTGCCTCAAATCCTTGAGTTAACACATGTTCAAACACTTTGAAAGATTCCCTTGAAAAGGAGTGATGCATCTCTTTGAAGTGAGTGCTCCCTTCAACAAGTGCATTTCTTTTAAAATGGTAGAGCATTCCATTGAAGTAGGTCATGTCTTAGTCTACTTCTATGTCAAAAATGAACACTCTTGCACATGCAATGCCCTTTTCATAATATATGAATTTCTTAAATGAAGAACACATGGTACATCTAAGCACGTAAAATATGTCCTTCACAATTGCACATCATGTTTCTGAATGCATAATGTGATGTCCTTCCAAGACAACGAACCATATTTTGGGAATAACACCCTTTGGTGTAGGCAGTTTTCCTCTTGAAAATATTGTAATTTGAAGAATGTGCATCTTTAAATCTTAAGACAATCAAACATTGTTTGAACATATGGTATACTGTATGCATGTAGCACTCTTTTGAAAAAGTATGGTCGTCCTTGAAGAATCTGTTGTTGAATTTGTGCAACACCCCCTTAATATGAGTGAGATATTTGATTAAACGAAAACAACATTTCTTTAAGTGAGAGTTGTCTAAATGAAGGCTGGGCTGATCTGACCAAGGGGAAGAGTACACATGTCAAACAAAAGCAATCCAGTTTTCCAAGAATGCTGCTTCTTCACAGGAAGATTTTTTGCCATGCAGGACAATATTATGTTGTTCTGTGGTAAGAAGCGAAAGAGCATTCTTTAATAGTGCTCACAGTTTCAAACATGTTGCACTTTTGAAAGGGATGCTCTATGTCAATAATACTGCATATCTTATGCAGAAATATTGACTTTTCTAAAAGGGGTACTGCTCCTTTGAAGTAAGGGTTAGACATCTGGAAATGCACACTGCACTCCTTCAAAGGGCAAGGCGCAACTTTTCAACGAATACTTCATATTTTGTTTGGATATTGCCCCTGCAAAAACACAGTGCATTGCCCCAAAGGAAGATTACTCTTATTCAGAAGGGCATGTTTGTTTTGAATACTGCATTTGTTGGCAGGTATGGGGGTGTTGTAATTATGTTGAAGTCATCTAGCATATTCATCAGAAATTGTGTTTTGTTGAAGGGACACTGTAGTAGCATTTATCTAAGGTAGAGTGAACACCTGGACACTTCCTCAAGCAATACATCCTCTCTAGTGGACATGAACACAGCTTCATCTGTAGTTTAAGCTTTAATGTGATTACAGTTTTGAAAAAAACGACAAAAAAGTGCACCTCCACAGCGTCCTGCTCTCAAAAAAATCAAACGCACCCCCAAATAGGGACATATCATTCACAAAACGTCACGAATCCAGACCTTGCAGACTATTTTTGGATTTGATATCGATACACAAGTGTTGGGTTCTTGAGGGATGGTCATTCATTGAATCGACTGCAACATGGTGCGCTGCCATGTCCAATGTGCGCGCGCAATGCAATCCCCAACGCAGCTCAAAAGACTGTGACTTGTTCCCTATTCATTTACACCCAGCCAGTACGAAAAAAAAATGCACACAAACATCACTCTACATGCAAATGGAGGATGCCCCAAAATTGCACTTTTATTGCATTTGAATTGCAAACAATGATGATCAACCATTTTATGGCTCGGCCGCGTGGATCTTTGGTTAACCAGCCCAGCCTTCAGTTCCGCGGACAAACTCACGACGTCCTCAAAGCGACTAGCTCTGACACGCCGTGGCTGGGCGAACTCCAACCTCCGCAGCAGCTTTCGACGGCGTGCCGCTTGCTTGGCCATGGTACATCCATAGGCCCCACTAAGCTGGGTCCGCTTGGGTTCTTGAAAAATGCTAGGGTGCCACGTTTTGGCCAGCCTCAAAAGCCTCAAAACCTCCGCAGCGCTTTCGAAGCCTTGGAACGTCACAACCCTCCCAGCAGCATTTCGAAGGCGTTGCCGCTTGCTTGGCCATGGTACCTCCCTAGGCCCCACAAGCTGTTTCTATTGGGCTTCGAAACTGCTATGTGGCACGTTTTGGGCCAGGCCTTAAAAGCCTCAAAACCTCCGCAGCAGCTTTCGAAGGCCTTGGAACCTCACAACCCCCCGCAGCAGCTTTCGAAGGCGTGCCGCTTGCTTGGCCATGGTACCACCCTAGGCTCGACAAGCTGTTTCTATTGGGCTTCGAAACTGCTATGTGGCACGTTTTGGGCAGGCCTCAAAAGCCTCAAAACCTCCGCAGCAGCTTTCGAAGGCCTTAGAACCTCACAACCCTCTGCAGCACCTTTCGAAGGCGTGCCGCTTGCTTGGTCATGGTACCTCCCTAGGCTCCACAAGCTGTTTCTATTCGGCTTCGAAATTGCTTTGTGGCACGTTTTGGGCAGGCCTTAAAAGCCTCAAAACCTCCGCAGCAGCTTTCGAAGGCCTTGGAACCTCACAGCCCTCCGCAGCAGCTTTCGAAGGCGTGCCGCTTGCTTGGCCATGCTGTTTCTATTGGGCTGCGAAACTGCTATGTGGCACGTTTTGGGCAGGCCTCAAAAGCTGCAAAACCTCCGCAGCAGCTTTCGAAGGCCTTGGAACGTCACAACCCTCCGCAGCAGCTTTCGAAGGCGTGCCGCTTGCTTGGCCATGGTACCTCCCTAGGCCCCACAAGCTGTTTCTATTGGGCTTCGAAACTGCTATGTGGCACGTTTTGGGCAGGCCTCAAAAGCCTCAAAACCTCCGCAGCAGCTTTCGAAGGCCTTATAACCTCACAGCCCTCCGCAGCAGCTTTCGAAGGCGTGCCGCTTGCTTGGCCATGGTACCTCCCTAGGCCCCACAAGCTGTTTCTCTTGGGCTTCGAAACTGCTATGTGAAACACGTGTTGGGCAGGCCTCAAAAGCCTCAAAAACCTCCGCAGCTTTCGAGCTCAAAACTCACAACCCTCCGCAGCACCTTTCGAAGGCGTGCCGCTTGCTTGGCCATGGTACCTCCCTAGGCCTCACAAGCTGTTTCTATTGGGCTTCGAAACTGCTATGTGGCACGTTTTGGGCAGGCCTTAAAAGCCTCAAAACCTCCGCAGCAGCTTTCGAAGGCCTTGGAACCTCACAACCCTCCGCAGCGGCTTTCGAAGGCGTACCGCTTGCTTGGCCATGGTACCTCCCTAGGCCCCACAAGCTGTTTCTATTGGGGTTCGAAACTGCTATGTGGCACGTTTTGGGCAGGCCTCAAAAGCTGCAAAACCTCCGCAGCAGCTTTCGAAGGCCTTAGAACTTCACACCCCTCCGCAGCAGCTTTCGAAGGTGTCCCGCTTGCTTGGCCGTGGTACCTCCCTAGGCCCCACAAGCTGTTTCTATTGGGCTTCGAAACTGCTATGTGGCGCGTTTTGGGCAGGCCTTAAAAGCTTCAAAACTTCCGCAGCAGCTTTCGAAGGCCTTAGAACCTCACAACCTTCCGCAGCAGCTTTCGAAGGCGTGCCGCTTGCTTGGCCATGGTACCTCCCTAGGCCTCACAAGCTGTTTCTCTTCAGCTTTGAAACTGGTATGTGGCACGTTTTGGGCAGGCCTTGAAAGCCTCAAAACCAAACAGCGGGTTTTCCCCTTCAAAACCTGCAAATTCCAGAAATCCCACATCTTTGAAGGAACTGGAAGGTCCAAGTATATATATATATATATATCTCTCTCTCTATGTGTGTGTGAATCTCCGCCGACCCCTGCCTTGCCCCCCCTTAATGGGGGGTCGGCGGCACCAGGGCGTTAGCCCATTTATAATATATATATATACAATGATTAATATAAACTGGGTGAATGAACAGGCCGAATACAATCCCATCGCTTCTTGGAGTGTTTGACAACGTTCGATTTGTGACCCCGCGCTGACTTGAAGACAAACATGTGTGATGCACCACATGATTGCGGCAGCTATGTCATGAAAATCAACAAAGACCTGCGACAAGTAAGGTCAAAACGTCCCGTATTCCATTTTGGAACCCTGACGTCAGCAACCCCGCATATTGAAAAATTGGAGCAACACGTGCATGTGCGTGAAAGTGCGGTATACCTTCAAAATGGCTTTATTAGAACCGACCATCAACCATTTCCCAGCCTTTGGAAAAGTCTTGCCATAGCGGCGGCGGTTTGCTCGGCTGTAGACTTGGACCAACTTCTCGTCGGAACTCATCCTGCAGCTTAAGTGGCTTTCCCAAACGAAAAACTCAACAGCCCCACGACCCTTGCAGCTACTTGGGCGCGGTTTTGTTCAAAAAGGGCGGAAACATCTTGAAAAACAACGGGATGTCACACAAAACTAAACCTCAACCCACACAAGCCATCCAAAGGGCCGCCTTTTGGGGCACGCCTCATTTCGACCCCAAACAAATTTCGCCACCGAACGTCCCTCGGTCAATGCCCAACAACGTCACTGCAGTGTTGTCGTAGCCAGTTTCGAACCGGTCACATATCACTAAGAAGGACTTTTGGCTTCCAGTAGGTGTTAACTTTTTTGAGGTAGGTGTTTGTTTTGTGCAAAGCACTGGCACCTCAGATTCTTGGTTTGTAAATTTAGAGTGTTGCGATGCCAAAGGAAAAGCAAGCACCACGTCAGAATATTTCACACTGAGGAGATTGGGTTAAATGTCAGAAGGAGATGCCAAAGCCAATGTCAGATGATATGTTAGAAAATGGCTGTCAATATGAGGAGAGGGTGGGGCTCACTGGAAGTGACATTTTTTTGTGAGAACGAAAGGAATGTTGATCTTTCAGAATCTTCCGTTGAGAAATTGATCATTGTTCACAGTTATGTTGCCTCTTGTGCGTGGAAGTGTCAGCATCACTATTTGCATGATTTGCACTGGTTTGCAGCCGCCTGTTCTTCGCTATATAATAATAATAGGTAGCAGCATCTTGCGCTATATATAATTAATAGTAGCAGCTTCTTGAGCGCTATATTATAATTAATTAATAGTAGCGCTTGAAGCGCTTTTAAACATTCTGTGTTCTCGCGCAGCTAATTTTCCAGAGACCTCGAAACCGCGTTTTTCATATCATAGCGATCTTGCTGCTATCAATTCAATGGCTTACCATCAAGTGTGGCTGCATGCAGAGCAGTGGAACCTGTTGCCTCTGTTCCTCCAGACCATTTCTATGTTGTCAGAGGAGGAAAAAAAATTCATGGCAGATTTTGGCATGGCACTGTTGAAAGAATGCTGCATTGCTGCGCGCAAGTTGACTGACAACTTCCAAGAGACGCTGGACCTGATGCGTGCCGAAGTTTTTGTGGCGACATTTCGTGGCGTCATCGTCCGTGGAAGTTCGACTCACATTCCAGTGGCCGTGCTCAGGGAGACTGAAGGTGACAAGAGACGCTTCCGAGATTTGATTGCAGCTCAATCGTATACGGTGCCTCGCTTGCAGCATTTGGCCAGCGATTTGAGACTGGCGTTACACTACATTGATGAGTGGGAGACAAACTGGCGTTGTTCCGAAGCTTTGGCTTCAGTCATGGAGCACGTCGAGGCCATACTGGACAACTTGCGGCTGAAGATCTTGGGATTGCTTCATGAACCGGAAGGAGAATATAACCCTGAGTTTGACTTTGACTTCAAATGAGGATGGAAAAAAATTAGAGGCATGCAGCTTTAGTGCCAGCTGTAGTGCCACCACGTTGCATGCAGAGGTCATTTTCTGAGACGGATCATTTCATTTTGGTTTGTTTCGAGTGCAAACGTTTTTCCATTCGGTGCAATCTGCAGCCGTTTTCAAAAAATGACGTTTGACAGCTCAACACGAGTCAGCGGACAAAAAAAGCATGACGTAACTTAACATGATGTAGCAGATAATTAAATTCATGTGTGAGTGTTTTTGCGATAGTATTTTATAGGCTGACCATGATCATGATGGTGAGAATGCCGCTACCTTAGGCACTTTCCACTGAACTCTCTGCTGCAATGTCAGATACGCTGTCTGATGCACCAAGCTTGCCTCCTGATGTTGAATCTGAAGATGATAACAAAGACGCATCTGAAGCAAGATCCGTAAGTCTTCCCTCTGACGTTCAATCTGATGCTGAGCCTGGAAATCTTCAAAAGCATTGCAGCTGCCGATTGCAATGTTACCTGAAGTTTGATGAAGCAGAAATCGAACATCGACGTGCTGAAAATTTGAAGGATCAGCAGGTTCGACTCCAGAATTTATTTGGAAAGGTGAAATCTTTCGTGGATGCTTTATCTGTAAAGACTGCTCGCATAGATTGGCAAATGGGTGGCCAAAAAGTGTGCAGGCCCTTTTGGGAGTATTGCCACTCAGTAGGCCACAAGCAAGTGGACGACATGGTGAAATTGGCTAAGCTTGGACATGCTGCTCTCCCTGAAAAAGGCGCCCGGATGCCCAAGGAGAAGCCTCGCATGGATGAGGCTGATGTTTGGTTCCTCAACTTATATACAGGTCTTGCAGAGCTGACACCAGTGGAAGATGGTGGCCATCGCCATGTGGAAGAACTTCCTGATGCAGATCAAGTGCATGAAGTTGTCCACGATGTTAGCCATCCACTATATTCAATGTCTGTTGGTGTTGGCAACCAGGGGGCATTGGTCCCGAAGCGTTTCCTCAATCAGGAGAATTTGGCTTCTTTGTGGCATGTCTACGAGCTGAACAAGTCGGATGAGCCACGTGTGTCCCGGGATACCTTCACCAAAGCTTTCAATCGACACTGGAAAAGGATTTTATGCTTCAAGGGTTATGGTCAAGGAGTACGATGTCAAGTTTGTGCTGATTTTGATGAGAGGCGTTCGCAGCTGACTTCAAAGAAGGAGCGCCAGGAGATTGACGAGTTGAAGCAGCAGCACCTCAACAGATGTGACATGGACCGATCTGTCAATGTCAGGGGCAACCGATTGTCAAAGCAGGATTCAAATTTTAAGATGGAGAACTCCTCGACTAGCTTCCTCAAGGTGTTGGTGGACGGGATGGACCAGGCAAAATTTCGATGTCCCAGAAACTTGAAAGCCAATGCAGCCTTCGCCAATGTCCAAAGGCCGGCCTTGCATCTCACTGGAGCTGTGGCAATTGGCCTCTGCGAGGTTTATTATATTCTTGCGCCTGACACCAAGAAGGACAGCAACATGGTTGCAACTTGCTTGGCCCACCTTTTGGACAGATGCCAACTTGTTGTCGAAAATAGAGGACCAGATTATTGCTTGCCAAGACATCTCATCATTGGAGCGGACAATTGCACCAGGGAGACGAAGAATGCCTATTTGGCCCAATTCGGTGCCTTCCTTGTGGGAAGGGGTTTATTTGATTCAGTGGAGTTTCAGTTTATGGTCACTGGCCACACAAAGAATGAGCTGGATCAGCGCTTTTCAAGCGTTGCGACGATTTTGAACAAGGCTGGCACCCTGGAAACGCCATTGCAATTTGCCAACTACATGACGCACCATGTTAAGCCAGCAATGGCAACCGAGATGCAGGTGGAGGTCTTGGATGCTACTAGGGATTGGCAAGCTTTCTTTGAACATTTGAGCATGCACGTGCAAGGGCTCACAGCGACCCACCTTCAGCCTGATTCAAACCATGTTTGGCGCTTTGTCTTGCGACAGCAAATTGACCGTGCCCAAATGGTGGAGAACCACAACCCAAACTGGAAGGATTTTCCTGAAGACCCCAGGGATGTTGTGCTGATTCTCAAGCAGTGCCTTGGTTTTTTCCTGTTCTTCAAAGTCGTTTCAGTATGTTGTACCTTTTAGTTCTTGGACCGTCCCATGGTTGAATTACCAGGTTCTCACCGCTGCTGCAATGAAATGTATTTTTTTTCAGACTGCCAGGTTCATGTCCTCGGCCGAAGCGTCGCAACCACCTCAGCTGATGCTTCCAGCTCAGCTTCTTGGCAGTTTCAAGCGGGACCTCTTGACGATTGCCGACAGAAGGCAGTGGTCTGAAGATCAGTTGGAGCAGTACCTGAAGACTGCTCAAGCCGTGTCGTCGGATCCATGGAGACTCTTTGAGGCGCAGGCATGGCTGGAAGGCTTGTGCCATGCTAACAAGCATCGGCTGTCCAAGGAGCCTCCAGTCTTTTCTTTGGTTTTGCAGGAGCATGAAATGCCTGAGATCGTCACAGATTTGCCAGATGAAGCCCTGTTTCAGCCGGATCCGGCACCTCGTCGTGTCAGAGTGTTGCTGAAGCGACCTGCTGCTGCAGCCAAGTCATGTCGACAGCCGAAGATGAGAAGACCTGCAGCAGCTCTGCCAGGTGCTGCAGTTGCAGCACCAGCAGACGCTGCAGTAGCCGCGGCGGCCAAGCCTGCTGCAGCACCTTCTGGATCGCGACCGCCCATGCGCAGACCCGCGGCTGCAGAACCCTCAGACCGTGCCAATGCTCCTCCGGAGTCACATGTGGTTGAGGCTTCTTTAGGGAATTACCCATGTCAATGTTCGGAGACTCTGATATGATGTCTATGACAATATTATTGGACTTCTGTTTCAGCTAGGGGCGAGACTTCAAACTTTTCAATGTCAAGGTATACCACTATCTTGAAGATGTAAAGGGAAAGAAACAGTCGGTGATCAGAAATTCAGACAATGTTGCTGCAGTTGCATCAGAGCTGGCGATCCATTGATATATTATAATATGTATTATGATTTTTGGCATCGTAGGTAGCGCAGAGCGCTCTATAATGGGTCCCCTATTAAGTAGGTAGCGCAGGACGCTTTATAATTATATCATATGATAATATCCCTAACACATTTATGACCACGTAAAGTCACCAATTTGGCTTGGCCCGCTAGGCAGATTCAGAGAAGATCGAGCGCTATGGATGCTCCAGGTGCAGAAGCGCCAGGATTGGGTGCCTTCAATGTCGAGCCTGGGTGGAACAGAAGAGGCGTCGTTACGTTTTGGATTCAGCTGGCCACATTTGTCAGCTTAAAGCTGACGCTGAGGATGTTGATTGAATATCCCCAGCCAATCTTCAAGATTTTGCATTTGGATTGAAAAGAGAAAATGAGATGCCTTGCTGCAGATTGCTTTGCGATGTTGATTTGTGATTGAATCCTGAAGTGCTTTGGCAAAGAAACTTTCTTAGACATTAGCCAAATCATGTTTGAGATGTCGCTTTGTGATTGAATCCTGAAGTGCTTTGGCAAAGAAAGTGTCTTAGACATAAAAAAAAACATGTTTGAGATGTCGCTTTG